TGGCCCGCACTCCCAGCTTGTCCCCCACCACTGCTCACTCAAGTGACCACACAGCTGGTGCTCTCAGCAGCTTCTAGCTCAGGAACTTTCTCTAAATTCCCAGAGCCTGCAGAGCACTCCTGGCATCGTCCCACCCCAACCTGCTCTTAACCCACATTTCAGCCTTTTCACACAGTCCCCACATGCCTTAGCTGGATGTCTGCACATTGTCACACTTTGACTTTGTTCACGCTGCCTCCTCTGTCTGTCCCTACCTGCACCGGCAAAATCCATTCCAGTGTTCCAGCCCAAGAACCAGAGCAAAGGCACTATCCCAGACAGCCTGGCAGGCAGGAGGCTTCCTTCCCTGGATTTCTCGTTGGATGACTGTGATGACTCTTTCTGGCCCTGGCCCTGGCTGCTCTGCCCCCTGTCCTACCTCCCCTGCCAGATAGCACTCTGGGCCATGTGTCTGATTCCTCTTGCTGGGCCCAGTACACTGGTACTCAGTGAATGTTTCCTCAGTGACCAAATGTATTCATTTCCTGGGGCCACTATGACCAAATACCACACACCAAGTGGCTTAAACAACAGAAATTTGGTGGCTGGAAGTCCAAGATCAAGGTGTCAGCAGGGTGGGTTCCTTCTGAGGCTGCTCCAGGCCTTTCTCCTTGGCGGGGGACAGCCATCTTCTCCTTGTGTCTCTTCACATGGAGTTCTCCCTGTGTATGTGTGTGTCTATGTCCAAATTGCCCTTTTTTTGAAGTAGTCTTGCTCTTGTGGCCCAGGCTGGAGTGTAATGGCATGATTTTGGCCCACTGCAACCTCTGCCTCCTACGTTCAAGTGATTCTCCTGTCTCAGCCTCCCGAGTAGCTGGGATTACAGGTTTGTGCCACCATACCCGGCTAATTTTTGTGTTTTTAGTAGAAGGGGGGCTTCACCATGTTGGCCAGGCTGGTCTTGAACTCCTGACCTCAGGTGATCTGCCTGCCTCGACCTCCCTAAGTGCTAAGATTACAGGTGTGAGCCACTGTGCCTGGCCCCTTTTCCTTGTTCTTTTTTTTTTGAAACAAGTTCTCTCTCTGTCACCCAGTCTGTAGTACAGTGACATGGTCACAGCTCACTGTAGCTGCAAACTCCTGGGCTTTAGTGATCTTCCCGCCTCAGCCTCCTGAGTCACTGGGATTGCTGGCATGAGCCACTGCATCCTGCCCAACTACCCTTTCTCTAAGGACTACCAGCCGTCTGGGATTAGGGCCCACCCTAATGACCTCATCTTAATAACTCTCCTCTGCAATGCCCCTGTTTCTGAACACAGTCACATTCTCAGGTACCAGGGGTTAGGACTTCAACATACAAATTTTAGGAGGGCACAATTTAGTCCCTAACACTAAACAAATGAGTTGTGAAAACCTCTGGACCAAGAATGGCACCCTCACAGTCTGGTGTTTGGACACAAGAGTGATGTGAGTAAAAGGGGGACTTGGGAGCGCAAGTCTGGAGGGCAGAATCAAGTCCCGGTTTGTCTCCTAACCGTTTTGTGATCTGTGTAAGTTATTCCAAACTGTATTTCTCTTTCTTTTTTTTTTTTTTTTTTTTTTTGAGACAGAGTTTCACTCTTGTTACCCAGGCTGGAGTGCAATGGCGCGATCTCGGCTCACCGCAACCTCCGCCTCCTGGTCTCAGGCAATTCTCCTGCCTCAGCTTCCTAAGTAGCTGGGATTACAGGCATGCGCCACCACGCCCAGCTAGTTTTATTGTATTTTCAGTAGAGACGGGGTTTCACCATGTTGACCAGGATGGTCTAGATCTTTCGACCTCGTGATCCACCCACCTCGGCCTCCCAAAGTGCTGGGATTACAGGCTTGAGCCACCGTGCCCGGCAAAGAAACGGGAAGTGTGAGATCACTTTTTTGTTTTTTTGTTTGTTTGTTTGTTTTGAGACGGAGTTTCGCTCTTGTTACCCAGGCTGGAGTGCAATGGCGCAATCTCAGCTCACCGCAACCTCCGCCTCCTGGGTTCAGGCAATTCTCCTGCCTCAGCCTCCTGAGTAGCTGGGATTACAGGCACGCGCCACCATGCCCAGCTAATTTTTTGTATTTCTTTAGTACAGACGGGGTTTCACCATGTTGTCCAGGATGGTCTCCATCTCTTGACCTCATGATCCACCCGCCTTGGCCTCCCAAAGTGCTGGGATTACAGGCTTGAGCCACCGCGCCCAGCCTGATCATATGATCTTTATTTCTTACTTAATTCATTCTGTGTCATTCCATTAGTTTGTGGATTGTGTCAACGGGTAAAAGGTTTGGACTGTGGGTGTCTAGAATTATATCCAGCCCTTCTACATTAATTCTTATGAAAAAATATTCTTTTACCTTTTTTACTGTAAGATGAATTTCTCAGAAATGTAACCATGATGCAAATAAACGCTCTAACTGTTGTGCCAAAAGTTGCAATTAATAAACCCAGAGTCTTGTTCTCAACCCAATTCTAAAATGAGGGGTTTCTCTAAGATGCAAATTCTAACACACATGAACAATCTTCTCATATAAGGTTGATGGTTTCTCTAATACAAAACTCCCTCTTTTTTTTGTGGGGAGGGACAGAGTCTTGCTCTGCTGCTCAGGCTGGAGTGGATTGGTACTATCTCAGCTCACTGTGGCCTCCGCCTGCTGGGTTCAAGCAGCTCTCCTGCCGCAGCCTCCCAAGTAGCTGGGACTACAGGCATGTGTCACCATATTCGGCTAATTTTTTGTATATTTAGTAGAGACGGAGTTTCACTATGTTGGCCAGGCTGGTCTCAAACTACTGAGGTCATGATCCGCCTGCCTCGGCCTCCCAAAGTGCTGGGATTATAGGCATAAGCCACCGTGCCCGGCCTCTAAGACAAAACTCTTAACAGTTTGGATATAAAGTGGCTATACTAGAATGTATTCAATTTCTTTTTTTCTTTTTTTTTTTTTTTTTTTGAGACAGAATTTCTCTCGTTACCCAGGCTGGAGTGCGATGGCGCAATCTTGGCTCACCGCAACCTCCGCCTCCTGGGTTCAGGGAGTTCTCCTGCCTCAGCCTACTGAATAGCTGGAATTACAGGCACGTGCCACCATGCCCAGCTAATTTTTTGTATTTTCAGTAGAGACGGAGTTTCACCATGTTGACCAGGATGGTCTCGATCTCTTGACCTCATGATCCACCCACCTCGGCCTCCCAAAGTGCTGGGATCACAGACGTGAGCCACCACGCCCAGCCGAATGTATTCAATTTCATAAAATTCTCTAAGGCTTGTAGCTCCATTAGAAACAAAACTCAAAGTATCAAAAAACCCTCAGAAAACTAGGAATAGACGGAACTTCTGAATTTGATTCAGAACATCTACAAAACCCTGCATTTAATACTACACTTAATGGTAAAAAATGGAATGCTTTTTTTTCTGTGATGGGGAACGAGGCAAAGATATCCACTCTCACCTCACCACTCTTATCCAACACAGACCTGAACATTCAAGGCAGTGCAATAGGCAAGAAAACAAAAGAAGACAAGAGAAGAGGAAGACGGGTAGGGTAGGGGCACATGTTTCAGAAAGCCAAAAATAAAAATAAAACAGTCTGTATTGGCAGATGATATAGTGATGTAGTAGAAGGTCCCAAAGAATCTACACACACACACACACACACACACAACTCCTAGAATCTCTATACTCATGAATACATGGAAACCAAAATTAAAAATAAAATAGCATTTATAATCACTCAAAACATGGAATATTTGGGTGGAAATCTAACAAAACATGTATAGGAGTTCTATGCTGAAAACTACAAAATGCTGACGAAGGAAATCAAAGAATATCTAAATAAACTGAGAGGTAAAACTGTGTTTATGGGTTGGAAGACTAAGCATAGGAAAGTTGTCAGTTTTTCCCATATTGGCACACTTCCTATCCAAATTCCAAAAAAACATATTTCTTGCAATTTTTTTTTTTTTTTTTTTTGAGACGGAGTTTCGCTCTTGTTACCCAGGCTGGAGTGCAATGGCGCGATCTCGGCTCACCACAACCTCCACCTCCTGGGTTCAGGCAATTCTCCTGCCTCAGCCTCCTGAGTAGCTGGGATTACAGGCACGCGCCACCACGCCCAGCTGATTTTTTGTATTTTTAGTAGAGATGAGGTTTCACCATGTTGACCAGGATGGTCTCGATCTCTTGACCTCGTGATCCACCCGCCTCGGCCTCCCAAAGTGCTGGGATTACAGGCGTGAGCCACCACGCCCGGCTTCTTGCAAATATTGACAAAACTTTTCTAAAATTTATGTGGAAAGGCAAAGGAACTAGAATAGCTAGAATAATTTTAGATAGTTATTAAAATTCAGCTAATTTTAGAGAAAAATCAGTCTACCTAATTTTAAAACCTGTTATATGGTCACAGTATCACAACAGTGTGGTGCTGGGCCAGGAATAGCACATAGATCAGTGGAATAGAACACAGAACTCAGAAATAGTTTCACGCAACTACTTTTGACAGCTGACTTTTGATGAAGGTGCAAAAGCAATCAATGGAGAAAAGAATCTTTTCAACAAATGCTGCTGAAGCAACTGAACATCTATAGGCCCCCAACAACCAAACAACAAAACCTTGTCATAAGTCTCATATATGGCACAAAAATTAACTTAAAATGGACCTCAGCACTGGATGTGGTGGCTCACGTCTGTAATCTCAGCACTTTTGAAGGCCACGGCGGGAGGATCACTTGAGGTTAGGAGTTTGAGACCAACATGGCAAGACGCCATCTCTACAAAAAAATACAAAAATGTGCTGAGCATTGCGGGGTGCGCTTGTAGTCCCAGCTACTACAGAGATTGTGGTGGGAGGATTGCTTGAGCTTGGGTGATGGAGGCTGCAGCAAGCTATGACTGCACCACCGCATTCCAGCCTGGGTGACAGAGCAAAACCCTGTCCCCAAAAATAAAAAATAAATAAATAAAAGGACCTCAGACTAAAATGTAAACATGAAACCATAAGACTTTGAGCTCATTTTGGCAACACATAAACCCAAATTGGAATGATACAAAGAAGATTAGCATGACCCCATGTAAGAATGACATAAAAACTTGTGAGCCATTTCATATTTTAAAGACAATTCTATCTCTCAATACTGTTGCATTGAGGATTTAAAAAAACCAACAATTCTATAAAAATTTTAGGAAAAAAGCACAGGAGAAAACATTTGGGATCTAGAGTGAGGTAAAGAGCTCTTAAACTCAGCCCCCTAAACATGATTCATAACAGGAAGCATTTATGGCTGGGCACGGTGGCTCACGCCTGAAATCCCAGCACTTTGGGAGGCTGAGGTGGGCAGATCACGAGGTCAGAAGTTCGAGACCAGCCTGGCCAACATGGTGAAATCCCATCTCTACTAAAAATACAAAAATTATCCAGGCGTGGTAGTGCACACCTGTAATCCCAGCTGGAGAGGCTGAGGCAGGAGAATCACTTCAACCCAGGAGGCATAGGCTGCAGTGAGCTGAGAGTGTGCCACTGCACTCCACCCTGGGGGCAGGGCCAGACTCCATCTCAGGAAAAAAAAAAGAAAAAAAAGAGAAACATTTATATATTGGACTTCATCAAAATTAAAAGCTTTTGCTATGCAAAAGACCTTGTAAAGACGAAAAAAAAAAAAACAAGCTACAGCTACAGACTGGGAGAAAATATTTGCAAACCACACACCTGACAAAAGAACTAGTGTCTAGAAATAAGCAGCACTCTCAAAACTCAATAGCAAAAAAAACAAGAATAGAATTACAAAATGGGCAAAGGACATGAAAAAATTCACTGAAGAGGATATACAGAAGGCAAATAAGCACCCAAAAAGATGTTCAACGTTATTATTAGTCATTTGAGAAAGCAAATTAAAACCACAATGAGATATCACTGCACTCCTCTCAGAATGGAGAAAATAAAAAATAGCAGCAATAGCAAATGCTAGTGAGAATACAGAGAAACTCGATCAATTATATACTTCTGGTGAGAATGAAAACTCGTACAGCCACTCTGGAAAACAATTTGGCAGTTTCTTATAAAAATGAAACATGTAACTACCCCATGAGCCAGACATTACACTACTGACCATTCATTATCTCAGAGAAATGAAAACTTACGCTTATGCAAAAAGTGTGTAAACAAATGTCTATAGCAGGTGTATTCATAATAGCCTCAAACTGGAAACAAAGCTGTATGTCCTTTACTAGTTAATAGTGAAGAGTTGAATAAACTGTGGTGCACCCATTCCATACCCAGTAGTAAAAAGGAACACACGGCAGGGCACAGTGGCTCGTGCCTGTAATCCCAGCACTTTGGGAGGCCCAGCTGGGTGGATCGCGAGTTCAAGACCAGCCTGACCAACACGGTGAAACCCATCTCTACTAAAATTACAAAAATTACCCGGTCATGGGGGCGCACGTCTGGAATCCCAGCTACTTAGGAGGCTGAGGTAGGCCAATTGCTTGAACCCAGGAGGGAGAAGTTCTGATGACTGAGATGGCGCCACTGCATGCCAGCCTGGGTGACAGAGCAACACTCCATCTCAAAAACTAAATTTAAAAAGGAACATACTACCCATACACAAAACCACCAGGATGAATCTTTAGGGAATCATGCTGAGGGAAAAAAGCCAGTCCCCAAGGGTTACAGAACTGCATGGTTCTGTTTATAAAACCCTCTTGAAACGACAGTTATAGAAATGGAAAACGGCCGGGTGCGGTGGCTCACGCCTGTAATCCCAGCACTTTGGGAGGCCGAGGCGGGTGGATCACGAGGTCAAAAGATCGAGACCATCCTGGTCAACATGGTGAAACCCCATCTCTACTAAAAATACAAAAAATTAGCTGGGCATGGTGGCGCGTGCCTATAATCCCAGCTACTCAGGAGGCTGAGGCAGGAGAATTGCCTGAATACAGGAGGCAGAGGTTGCAGTGAGCCAAGATCGCGCCATTGCACTCCAGCCTGGGTAACAAGAGCGAAACTCCGTCTCAAAAAAAAAAAAAAAAAAAAAAAAAACTTTGGGAGGCTGAGGTGGGAGGATCACTTGAGCCCAGGAGTTTGAGACTAGCCTGGGAAACATGGTGAAAACCCATCTCTACCAAAAAAGTTATCTGGGTAGGTTGGCACACTCCTGTGTTCCCAGCTACTCAGGAAACTGAGGTGGGAGGATCACTGAGCCTGGGAGTTCAAAGCTGCAGTGAGGCATGATTACGCCACTGCACTCCAGCCTGGGTGACAGAGCAAGACCCTGTCTCAAAAATAAAAAATAAATAAATTCCACATCCTTGTTATTATTTATCTTTCCAATTTTAAACATCCTAGCAAGTGCGAAGTGGTATCTCACCGTGGGTTTGGTCTGCGTTTCCTGATTGATAGCTAACTGTGTTGAGCATCTCTTCATCTGCCTATTGACCTGGAGATGATCTTTTAGCACAAGTCTGCACCAAGCTGGTCAGCCTCGGCGGGTAGAGGGCAGCATCACACAGTGGAGCCCAGGTTACTATGGAGCACTCTGGTGTCCTGGGGTTGTTTTTCAGAGATGACCCTGAGGAAGCAGTGTGGTGAGAAAGGTCTCCATTTTTTTTTTTTTTTTTTTTTTTTTGAGACAGAGTCTTGCTCTATCACCCAGGCTGGAGTGCAGTGGCACCATATGGGCTCACTGCATCCTCCGCCACCCAGGTTCAAGTGATTCTCCTGCCTCAGCCTTCCAAGCAGCCAGGATTACAGTCACCCACCATCACACCGGCTAATATTTGTATTTTTAGTAGAGATGGGGTTTCACCATGTTGGCCAGACTGGTCTCGAACTCCTGACCTCAAGTGATCCTCCTGCCTCAGCCTCCCAAAGTGCTGGGATTACAGGCGTGAGCCACTATGCCCAGCGAGATTTTGAACCATCCTCCTTAGCATGGAGGAGGTTCCCAAGGACAGTGAGGGAGAAACATGAGAGCTGTGAAAGCTTTGGGTACCCTTTGAAGTTAAGGGTGAGAAGAAAATGTCAGACGCACTGTCCCAACTGGATGTGGGGAGGGGCAGGATCAGCCAAACTAGGGATGAAGCCAGTGACAGGGATAAACTGTCAAGATGAGATCTCAGGGTGGGAAGGTCCCTGCAGGTTTCAGGTGGTGGAAACAGGCCTGGGAGTTGGGGCTCAGGAATGAGACCCCTCCCTGAGTGCTTGCGCAGTGGCCTCACCTACCTCTTCTCATGCAGTCCTCACTACTGCCCTCTCGTGGTGGCTGTCTCCATTTCACAGGGGAGGACGTTGAGAAGTTCCGTGTGAAGGCACACACTCGGAGGTGAACCCCGGCCTGAATGATCCAAAACCCTGTGCATTTCTTAGGACACTGTAGTTTTCCAGCGCCCCTTAGGGACCCAGCGAGGAAAGAGGTCATTATCCTTTGGAAGGCATTTGGGGTGAGGGTTTCAGCTGAAACATCGACTCAACAGAGAGACTCTTCTTGGTCACCCATCTAAAGACGGTCCCTCTTGCCAGGCGTGGTGGCTCACGCCTGTAATCCCAGCACTTCGGGAGGCCGAGGCGGGTGGATCACGACGAGGTCAGGAGTTTGAGATCAGCCTGACCTACATGGTGAAACCCCATCTCTACTAAAAATACAAAAAGTTAGCCTGGTGTGCTGGCGCATGCCTGTAATCCTAGCTACTCAGGAGTCTAGGAGAATTGCTGGAACCCAGGAGGCGGAGGTTGCAGTGAGCCAAGATCGCCCCGCTGCACTCCAGCCTGGGAGACAGAGCAAGACTCTGTCTCAGGAAAAAAAAAAAAAAAAAAAGAAGTCCCTTTCCTAATTTCTCACATGGTATTCAATTAGTTTCTTAACTGTCCTCATCATAATTCAGGATCATATATTTATCTGTGGATATAGCTCACTTTTATTGTAAACTAGTTTGTAGCAAAAGGACCATGGCAGCCACTTTTGTTCTGCGTTCTATCCCCAGCACTTGCTGTGGTACCAGGCATGCAGCAGGCACTTGAAACTGCCTTGGTGGATGCAGCAGTGGGGTACACTGGAAAATGGAGGCGAGTGGGGGTGTCACAGGTCACAAGCCTCCATCAGAGACTGTAGGTATTGACTTTCACCTCCCACACCCTCCAGAGCGTGGAGGGTTTGCTCTCTCAGGGACAGTATAAAAACAATGCTTATGTTACAGGGATGAGAACCAAGTTTGGGGAAGCAGGAAGCAGCATGGGCAAGGGTGAGACCAGCAAGGGTGTGATCAGCAAAGGTGCCCAAAAATAGGACAACAGACAGCCCTGGGAGAAGCAGGCTCTTTGGCCACATGACCTCGGGGCAGGCCCTTGGCAGTTGGGGTTGGGCAGCTAGGGTGGCTCCATGTCTCACTTCTTCCACTGAGGAACTGGCAAGGAAGCTGACTTCAGCAACAACTTAGGGAACAGTCATGTTCACCCAAGGGGCAGAGTGTGGGCTGAGAACAGATGCAGTCAGTTACGCCTCAGTCATCACTGCCATATTTTCTCTTCTGCACTTGCTCATTCAGAAAACGTTTGTTGGCATCTGCTGTGTATAAAACGTCCTTGTAACCCAACACTTTGGGATTACAAGGAGGATCACCTGAGGTCAAGAGTTTGAGACCAGCCTGGCCAACAGGTGAAACTCTATCTCTACTAAAAATACAAAAATTAGCCGGGTGTGGTGGCACATGCCTATAGTCCCAGCTACTTGGGAAGCTGAGGCAAGAGAATCACAGGAACCTGGGAGGTGGAGGTTGCAGTGAGCCAAGATCGTGCCATGGCCCTCCAGCCTAAGTGACAGAGTGAGATGCCATCAAAAAAAAAAAAAAAAAAAAAAAAAGAAGTCCTATGCTTGGTGCCGGGCATAGAGTAGGAGAGACTCCACGCTCTAATCTCAAGGAGCTCCTGGCTCATAGGACACAGTGACAATACAAGGCTCCAGGCAACCTCCAGCAGAGGCCTGACCTGACTTGTTACCTTGTCTCTCTAGGGCTTTGCCCTGAGTTCAGTGCTGGGAAGGTGCTCCAGATGGTTCCTTACCTAAAGGCACCTACTCTCGAGAGGGAATGACAGACAAAAGAGGCAAATGGGCAAGGGTGAGA